TGTACATATAAAATAAAAATTATCCTTTTCACTGCAAATTTCAAGTAGGGCAAGCTATTTTCCAATTATTTGCGTTTATAATAGAATTTTACTTAGAACCATCAGAATATATTCAAACATTTACGGCTAACACAAAAAAAAACAATTTTATTGATTTTTTTTTTATTCTTATACGTATACAAAATTTCTTTTTTTAAGGCACATAATATGTAGTGCAAAATTTTCGTAAATCATTCAATTTCAATTTTGAATGAAAAATTCAAAATTAATTTTTTTAGACCATAGGTCTTTTTTACAAATTTTGTAAAACAAAAAGAAAAAATTTTTTTCTCAAAAAATCTCTTTTGTTCTCGTCAGAGATGAGATGAAACCTTCTTATTCGTATTCAGTTAAAATTTTTCAAGGATTAAAAAAATTTTAATCATCTTATAAAAAAAATTTTTTTTTTTCTCTTTTATTCCATTCCACTCCATCTCTTTTTATTCTTCCTGATGTTTATTCAAATTTGAATGAAATCCTTTTAAAGTGCACATTTCCGCTTTCATTAAAATATCACTGATTGCATTTTCAGCTAATAAACGTTGTATTCGTGGTATCCTTTTCAATTTACTTTCCCATGCTTTTATTAAAATTTCCTCTTCATTTAATGGTTTCAATTCAAGTTTTTCAAATTTTAATGGTAACATTTCAATATTATCTGAATTTGAATTTTTATTTAAATTTGTTAATAAATTTGATTGAATTTCGGTGATCTAAAATTACACAAAAAAGAAGAAAGAATTTAAAAATAAAAAAAAAAATTTAATTAACTGAGGTTATTGTTATTTTCGAGAGTGGTGAATTTTTTTATTGAATTCAATTTTTTATTCAAATACTTTTTTTTATTTAAAAAGTTTTTTTTTTAATATAAATTAAAGTGAAATAATTTAATAAATATTGTAAATTGAATTTAGAAAATATTTTAATTAAAACTTTATATCAAAGTTGGTTGCTTCGGATTGCTGATCTTCTAAATGACAACTGAATTACTCTCACATTTATTGCGAGAATTTCTGAAATTTTCTCAAATTCTCTTTTCTTTAATCAAGTCTCTCATGATATATATTTTGTGAACAGCGTTCCCACTTGGATACAATTGTATCCATTTGGATACATTTTTGCTTTAAATTTGAACTTGGATACAAAGATACTCAAATCTGCTAAAATGCCGAAATCGGCTACATTTTAAAATTTTGCTGAAATATGGATACATTTTTTTTCAAACACTAAATAAATATTACAAAACAGTTGAAATGCTGCTAATATTAAATCGCGAAGTTGCTTTATCTTCAATAAATGTTATTTGCTGACTCTTCTAAGCACGTTTCCGAATTTTTTACAAGAAAGTAAAAAAGATGCTTTATTAACTGCCTCTTCCTGTATTCAAATTTAGCACATTTATACAAGAACGTACCAAAAATATTTTAATGTTAGCTATGTAGATGTAATAGAAAATGCATTGGGTGTACATATTTTTTAAAATTTGTCCGTTTTCATGGTCAATCGTCTTTACCGCATAGTTCAACAACTACAGAAGGCATATATGCATATGTTTTTTCTGACCTTAACTTTCACATTTAAAATATAATAGAAGTTGTATGTGATTTCTTAAAGAATTTACTATAAAAAACAAAACTCATATTGTGGAATAAAGCAAATTAATATTAATTATGGGTTAATTTGTACAAAATAAGACGACTTATTATAATAATGCTATTTTACGAGGTTGGATACATTTTGGATACATTTTTTTCTGGAAATTGGATACATTTTGTTTTTACCGAGTGGGAACACTGTTTGTGAATCATGCAAAAAAATTTAAAATACTAATTAAAAATACCAACATCTGACAACAAATTTAGAAATAATATTGTCAACATGCTTTTACTCTTTAATACCTATTCTCTTTTAATTCTCATTCTGTGATTGACAAATACGAGATAGGTAAAATGAGAATTTTAATATGAGAACAATATAATTACAATTTTTAACGTACAGTTATGTGTTTCATACTCGTATTATTTGTCATATGTTATATGCTGAGACATTTGCTATTTAATCAAAAATTCTTTTAAATTAATTCCCTTAAGAATTCAATTAAAAATTTTAAATTTATATTTAATTTAAATGATGTCATAATTGTACTAGATTATTTAAAACTATGTATGTTGAATAATTGAATAGTATGTTGAAATTTAAAAACTTATTAAATTTTGTTGATGCGAGAATTTTTAATACAAATTTAGTTAACAAAAATATAATTATGAAAATGTAATTACCGTAAAATTCATATAATTCTTTTTTGAATTCTTAATTTGAAAGTTATAATTACTATTGATATTATATAAAAGTTCAAATGATAATTGAGTTGACATGAATGACTAAATTTAAAATCAGTAAATTTATTAAATTAAATTCGTAAAACTTGAAATTGTTATAATTATATAATTATTATATTCGCATATTGTTATGTCTATTTTCATTATGAAATTATCCATGAAATAATAACTGTTATATTAGGGTACATATTATATAATAATTTATATTATACTCACACATGAATCATTATCCTTATTCATTATTGAATTCAATTCTTCACTATTATTATGTGAATTATTTTGTGCATCAATTTTACAATCATTTACGGATTTCATATTTTTTGATTTATATTTTTTTGATGATTTACAATATAATGCTGTTGATTTAACATGATGATGTGAATTTGATGATAATTGATCCTTATGATAATAATCAATTTCTTTTATAACATTCATATCCATCATATTATTACAACCTTCATTATTAATTTTTTTTAATAATTCCAAAAGTTTAATATAACCATAAATTTTTTTATCTTTATTTAAAATAATATTTGTTGTATTATTAACTGTATTTTTATTGTTATTACTATTATTATTATTATTATTTGTATTTGTATATTGCAAAAGTCCTGGTAATTTCTTATAATTATCAATAAACTCTTTTAATATTTCACTTGCTGTTAACTTTGATTGTGTTATAGATGGTGAACCGGAAATAACTTTTTTTTTTGTATCAACACATTCACAATGATTTTATATATATATATGTGTTTGTATATGTATATGTTTATGGATTTATACATAACAAATTTTTTTCAATTAATTTTTTTTTTCAATTTACAATGTGTGATTGAGTTAAATATGAAATTATAATAAAAATTAATTTTTTATTAATAATTTTTATTAATATTTAATTTTGTGAAATAAAAATAATAATAATATAAAAATTGATATATTTAAAAATTATTTTTAAATTGAAATCTTTTATGCAAATATTAAAAGTCTAACAGTTTGTGTTCAAATATTAATTTACTGAAGAGGAGGTAAAATTGTTTTACAGTAATTTGATGAATATTTCGAGCACTTTTAAAAATAAATTTATACAGAGTGTTTCGCACTTTTAGATCTCATTGTGGAGTATCGAAAAAAATAAAAAAACAAAAGCAATAATACTCGTAACACAAATTTTCGAGAAATTTCGAGTTTTTAAAACAAAATAAAAAAAAAATTCTAACTTTGACGAGTGTTTTCTCAAAAAGCTATTGTTCAAATCAAATTGAGTTCATGACCACAGATTAAGAGCAATCTATCATCTGTGAAACTAGCTCTCGATGATTACTCTACGTCGCGTGGTTCCGATATTATAAACGTTTATTTATATGTAGGAAAAATGTGGTATCTTTTTTTTTCAACACGCTGTAGCTCGAAAACAGGTATATTTGGAACGCCGCTACCTCCCACCAATATGATTTGTTGAATCTTGAAAGAATCATTTCTGAAATTATTTGCCACTTTATGCAAAACACCCTGTATATGTATATTTAACAAAAAAAAAAGTAATTAATTGAAATTTATTTTTAAAAACATAAAAATAAATAATAAAATTTTGTCATATTAAATTCAACATTTTAATTTCAATATTGTAGGAGTCCCACGAAGCTAAAGTGTATATATTAAAATTAATGACAAAATTATATTTAAAAAAATCTTTCATATTTTTGCTGCAAAAAATATTATTTTTCTAGGAAAAAATTAAGAAATAAAAATTAAAAATAATTCAACAAGAAAAAATTCTGACATTCTGACAAAATATTCTGTGATTTTTTCGAAAATATTACCGAAAACTCTTGTTTTTCAACAAGTTCTATAGGCAATGAATTTTCCATGTATTCTATATGAATAATCTGAATATTTTTTGGTTTCTTAGAAAACTATTATAATCAAACTTAATGTTTTGCAATTAAATGAAAATAAATTGAAAAAAAACCAAATGCTAAGAAACCAGTTTTTAAATTGATGAGTAAAATTTAGTACTTTTAAGTCAAAGAACAAAAATTATTGAATTAAATTAAAATAATTCCGGCTATTAAGAATTTTATTAAACTTCGCCGTTTGTATCCGCCAAATCAAGAATATTATTTAGAGAAAAATTAGCAAGCGTAGACAGTAAACGTGCCGAAATGTGACAAATAATTCAAAAAAGTGTGCTAATAGAAGCATACTAAGAAATATATTTTACTGTGTTAATTTAATATCCCCACTTCTCAGTGAATACGACGGTTCATTTACCTGATGTAGCATTATTTTAATTCACCAATTTGGTACTGAGATATTTGTATCACAAACACAACCGAACGGACAAAATTTACTAGATCCGTTTATTTTTTAATGAAATGACCTAAAAAACCATATTTCTTCACTTATTACTCAAAAATAGTAATAACTACTACAATATAGCTATATTATTACAAAAACTAAGGCATATTTTATTACAATTATTATTTAACTACTCCCAAAGTATAAGAACCATTTTGTAATTTCAATACATTCAATTTATTTATAAATTGAATTTTAGATTAATTCTTAATTTAAAACTAAAAGCATTATTCGAAACAAAAATCAAAACAAAACTCTACATACCCGTGACTTGAGTTAATCCATCCTTGTGATTTGATGATGGTTTTCTGAATATACTAATAACCGCTCTCCTATAAATATGCAATTTTTTTTTTATATATAAAAAAAAATTTTTTTTTATTAAAAACTTTTGTTTTTTTCCAAAATGTAGAGAATTGAAAATTCTTTTTATTCAAATTTTATTTATAATTCGTAGGTTTTTTTGTTATTCTGTATTTAAAATTTAATTGAAAAATAAAAAGAAAAGAAACTTTTACCTAAAATTCTGCCCACTAAGACAATATATTACAAAATTGATCCCGAAATTCGTCAAAAATAGAAACCAACAAATATATTGAACAGCAATTGTCGTCCTTGAAGGATTTGTCTGAAAAATAAAAGAGAAAAAGTTTGAATTCTTGTTTTCATTTTCATTTTAATAAAGTAAAATTTAAATTATTTTTTTTCTTTTCTAACTACACGAACAACATTTGTTTTATTAAACTTTTTTCTATAGTTAATTTTAAATCTTTTTTAACTTGTTATTTTGTTATGCCACCTGTACCAAATGTTGCCATGTATTTTTTAACAAAATTTCTATTATATTTGTGTAATATTAAAATTAAAAGTTTTGGTATTTGAATTAATTTGCATTTTGTTTATAATTTATACTTTAGAAATTAAACTTAACATTTCATTTGTTTACAAAAATATTAAAAAAAATTTTTTTTTTTTAGTTTTTCAAATTATTTACTTTTGTTATCCTTATTTTAATTAGCATTATTAACAAACAACTGTTATAGACCTTATTATGAGTAAAATTAAATGAATCTAATTATAACATAACATTTATTTTTACATACATACATATACACATATAAGAGAATAAAATAAGTAATTCACTTATATATGAAATTGTGTGTGTTTATAAATTATTTCATGAGCTTAACAAATTTATTATGTACCTAAATCCTTTTTTTTATGTATAACTTTTTTTGTATTCATAATTTATTATAATTTTTTTTCCAAGAAAAATTCTTAAAAATTAATGGGAATTATTTATTTTGTAGAATTCTATTATTTTGTAGTAATAGTTTTTGTTACTTAATATTAAAATTTTTTAAACTCATTTTAAACTTTCAAGAAAAAAATTAACAAAAAAGTTGGACATTACCTACTTTTAATCGGTATAATAATAAAACACTACATAATATAAAATTGTGTAATTTGCTCTATTGTTCTGAAAATTTCGTAGCTTTTACTGAGAAACTAAGAGAATATGCAGAATCAATTCATATCGTATGAAACAATCTTTCACCAGTTCAAAGTGTTCCAAACAATTTTCTTCAGATAATTTTTAGTAAGTCTTTTGAAAAAAAAAAAGCTTTTATAAGAACAAGAGTAGGTACAGTAGACCCTATCAACTATGAGATACCCGTACAAATAAATCATTTTAAGTGCTAAATGTTAATGTTCACACTGATTCACACGAACTTCTGGTTTGTTATATGTGCAGTCCTTTAATATTTATATGACTGCTACCATAAAAACTCATATGGCTTAAAAGACTTTTATTGAATTTAATAAACATATTACCATTTTCGTGTGCAAAATTCCGATATTGTTGCTCAATTATTATTGAGATACAGTCAAATAACTTTAGAAATTGTGGGGCAGCTACCTGAATCACTGCCTCGATCACATCTAATTCAAATAAGACTTCAGAATATATTAAAATAAATCATTTGCGAAAATTTAATGAGCTTATAGCTTTCAATCAGTTTTTAAGTTATCATTGTTACCGACGGACAAATGGGCAGACGAATTGATGGACAAACGGACAGACTAACAGACGGACAATCGTATAGACGAACATAAATGGTGAAATTGAATAAGAATTCGAGGCTGATCATCAAATATACACTTATATTTGTAACTTAGACCATTATTATTCTTAGCGTTACAAATTTGAGTATAAATTGGCTTATGGGTACAATTATTACAAGCAATTTTCATGCGAAATTCGATATAAGAACACTAAGATTCATTCTTGGAACACTAAAACAAAAATTTGCCAAATTAGTTTTTAATTAATAGTAATTTAATTGCCAATAATTGAATTTCCCTAGAACAAGTCTTCGAACTGCATTCCATAGAGAAACCAGACAAATGTTAAAAAAGTAAATGTAGTTTTTGTTAAGATTTAACAGTTCAACAATTCGTTAAAGAATTTCAACTTGAAAAGTTGCACCCTGTAATACGGCTACGATGCTTGTGATCCATAATTTAATTCAAAATTAAATTACAAAAAAAATTGACACCATCTTTATAAGAAAAAATTAATTTTTGCTTATAATCAACGCTCTTTCTTTAAAATTTCATTACTGCGTTATTAAATCAGCTAAGTGGGATTAAATCTGAAAGGAATTTATAATTTTCCTAGAAAATAGTTCTAAGGATTTCCTTATGGCAGAAAACTAGCCAAAAGAAAATTTTTTAATCTAAAAAAAAAAAGTTGGAATGCTAAAGAGAATAAAAAGTTTATGAAAAATAAGAACTAAATTATAAAAAGAAAAAAGTAGAAGAAAAAAAATCAAAATCCTTTTAATCTTACGAACAAGGATGTTCCAACAATTCGCAAAAAAAAATTTTTAATATGAGATTTTTTTTTACTTGCAAAGTAGGAAAAAAATATCAAAAGATAGTTGCGAATTTACGAATTCAACCAGAAACCCAGAAATTTAAATCTAATGGAAATTAGTTTTTTTTATGTGTTTTTTATTATAGCTGTACGCACATTTGTCTATGACTGCTTTCACTAGTTAATGTACATTTTTTAATTCGAAATTTTAATTAAGTTAAAATAAATTATTTTGTACTTTTAAGACTCCTTAATACGACTGGGATGGCTATCACCATCTTTACAGATTGCAGGACTTCTTCTTCTACAAATGAAATGAAAATGCTACTAATTATAATATGCAAGTGTTGCAACACTTCGACATCACATCGGCTCCTGTATTTATGACAATCAAAATTTTATTAGAGAACTTAAACGTACATAGCACGATAGTACGACTTCTTCATCTAATTTGTCGTATTTCTATATTCTAACCATTCGGACACCATAAAATATGCTTCTAATTCTAAATTTATGCTTTTCGAATTAAAATGATCAATTATTACTAATTTTACTCTCCTATTTTAAAACAGAAAAAAATATTTTTAAAAATCAGAAAAAAAAAAATTCAACTTACCTCTAAAAAGGCCCGAACTCTCATCACATAACTTGGTAAATTCAAACATATGAAAACTGTTGATACAATTAATAGCATTTTTGTAACTTTTAATTGTGATGTATTTGTCATTTTGCGGCGACCTGTAAAAAATTGTGAACATTGTCTTATTAACTAAAAAATTTCTCAATTTAAAAAAAATTTAACATAAACAATTCGATTTAATTGCTTCAAAATTGCAATTATACTAAGCATATGGACGTAATTCAACTGAATTTTGCAAGAACTTTTTATTAGTTGTAAATATAAGAGGATCTCCCATTAATAATAGATTAATAAGTGTACTATCTTACAAATGAGATGAAAATTAATATTGTATTAACAAAAATGCCTTTGAAAATGAAAATCTTTCTATTTAGCCTTACTTAATGTATTATATGTTGTTCTATTTTTAAGCCAACTACAATATTTTGAGGCATACTATTTATAATTTAATTGTTTACCAAGAATTGGAATAACAATTATTCTTCAATCTAAATTTTTAGACATCAAAGGAATTCTCTTTCAATTCTCATTTAAATTTTGAAATTTATTTAAATTCTATTTAAATTCAATTTTACAATTCAGTTGTTTCATTCCCAATTATATAAAATTTTTAAATAAATCTATTCCTCAAGCACGAATTTTTTTAAAATTTTATTCAAAATTTAAAGTATTTTACCTGTTTTAACAGTACCACTGTACCGAATACTATTTTTACCATTCGGATGTGAACAATTGGAAATTAAAGATGATGTTTTCTTTAATGTTGGTGTTCTGTACACAGTTGTTGGAAAATCATTTCTTGTGGTGGCATGTGTTGTCTGCTTCCTAAGAATTTAAATATAAAAATATTTTAATTTTATTGACGTACATAAATACATTTTTTATATTATTAATTTTCATTAAAACAAATTGGTAACAAATCTGTTCAACGAATTATTAAATATAGAATAAAATAATTTTACTCCTTCCAATTTGTAGTTTTGTAAAGTAGCACGTTTTCCTGAATCAAAGAACCTGTATTTATATGGCTCTGAGTGAAATAATTGTTCAATATTCCAAGTAATTTCCAAAAACAATTTAAGGGGGACATCACCGGCTTACGTAATTTTTAAAGCACTTAGTACCATTAAAATTGACTAATCATACGTAGACAAAAGCTTGGATTTCATTTCGTCTTCATTTCGTGTTGAATTTTAAAGTAAACCCGTATCAATAGATAATTTAAAAGCGATAAGAAAGCGAGTACTGGTACATTCTTTATCTTACGGAAATTGGATAGAGTTGAAAATGTCCAAAAATTGACTTTTTACAAAGTTTGATCAGAAATAACTAAGAAATAAGAGAAGGAAAAGAAAAATTCTGTGATATTAAAATTAAATATGTTTGTCGATATCTTTGAACTGCTGAAATATTAAACTTATCCCATTTGCCGTGTTGGAATAAAATTAGTTGAAAATAGCGACAAATCAATTTGAGGTAACGGGTAATTTTAAAAGCAGAAAATACTCTGGTTTTTACGATACAAGACTTGAGACTAGATTTTTTTCGCACAATTTACGAATTCCCTTTGGTTTCGATGCAATACCTTGCCGCAAACTTGCATTTACACAACTTTAAACATATAACTTGCATTCTTTAAACTTGAAGTACATATTTAAAAATTTTTCTAGAGAAATAAGGTCCTATCAGCTATTTGCCTATAAACTGTCGGCTGTCTATCAAAAAGTATGTAGAATTTTTGTGAAATGCCAAACAGACAGTGTTTATCTATAATACAGTTACATTGTTTTTTCAAAATTTTTTGGACATGTGCATGAATTTTTTTATTCTAAGAATCTTAATCATCACATTGCATCTATAAAAATTTCTACTATAATATAAAATTTTCTCTTTAATTAAGAAATAGTAATTTTTGGAATTCTTTTAAGAATGGAACACGTGCCATTTTACCATTATATAAAAAAAAAAAAACTTAATATTAAAAATTAAATTTATAAAGTGATTATAATCAAGACGAAAACGGAAAATTGTGAAAATTTTTCATTTTTTATAATAATTTGAAAATTTGAGTTGGATTTGGTTGTCAAATAAATTTATTCGTTTATTTTAAATACTAAAGGATTTCATGAATTTTTCCGAAAATATTTTACTAAAATTAGCAGTTTGAATTAATTTTAATTAAAATTTGTTTGAAAACTTTATACGGAATTCCGGAAAATTTCCAAATTCAAGCAAATCGGAAAATCATTATAATGGCAACATTTATTTTTAATTTTATATAATTTAATTTTGTTATCCAAAAAAAAATTACTAATTTGTCGAAATCGTTTATGCAAAATTTCGATACTACAGGTTTTATAGAGTTTTTTAACAAATTTACGTGATTAATAAAAAATTTATAGTTAGTTTTAGTCAGTTCGTTTTTGAAATACCGCTAGAATAGAAATTATGTATAGACGAACAAAATGGCGAATGGACAAACTTAGCTTAACTAACTCAGAATTCGGCGCTGAGCAAGAATCTACATATAAATATATAATGTCTATATCTCGGACCATTATTTTTCAACGTTACAAATTGAAAGCTAAATTTATAAAACACTTCGAACATTTTTTCCTTCATAATGTATAATATTTTTTTATTATTAATATGAGAGTAGATTGATAACATTCAGCAGGCCACCACTGACATGTAAATTTATTGTCATCTCATAATTCAAACAACTTCTTTAATTTTGGAACAATTATTAACTACGTACGCACCATTTTCTTTTACAGATTTGCTAGTATTACGCTTTAGTATTTTTTTATTTAACTACATTAGCAAATTTTTACCATTTAAGTCATTACCTACTGGTTGTATAACACTTTTTGTTCATAACATGTTTAAAATAAAAACTATATAAATAATATTTTCGCGTGTATGATTTCCTTTTTTTAAATAACAATTATCCTTAAATTTAATTCAAATCAATGAAAAACCATAAATTTAATTCTTAACCATTTTAATTTTAATTTTAAATCCTTACTCGCTTGCATAATTGTAAAAGGATGCATAACGAAATACTGATGAGTATAACAGGGTAAATAAATTCATTAATAATGTTATACCCTAAAAAATTTATAATTTTTTCACCAAAAAAATTAAAAATTACAACATCTCCTATATATGTAAGTATAATGTATATGAATTTTCCTTTTCAGGATTTTGTTTTCTACATTTAAAATAATATTGAAAAAAATTTTGCGAAAAATATCTGTTATGAATTTAAATTTTTCATTTTGAAGAGAAATGTGTTTGAAGAGAAAAAAAAAAGGTTCTTGTAAATATTTAAAAAAGATGTCGCTCTGAAGAAAAAAGGTTGTTCTTTTATCTTTCTGTTTCCTTACAAAGGTACGCAATATATTTTAAACAGAAATTAAATAAAAATTTTAGCTTAGGGGTTAGTACAGTTTTAAATAATATGAAAAAAAGGAGATAGGCACAAAAAATAAAGTTATTTTTAATTTGATAAAAAATTTCGCTGAATTTTTAGTTTTTTAAATGATTTTAACTGATGAACAGCCCTTTGTTGTTTATTTTTATATACATAAATTGTGCCCATATTATGGGAAACAACTGAAAATTACGAGCATAGCTAATTACTTTTTCTTAGAAAAATTAAGTTTTTGTTCAAAAACTGGCGATTAATTTTTTTAAAAATTTATTTGAACATTTTTTTCATTGAAATTTTATTAATTAAATTATTAACAGACTTTGATTTTTAATAGCCTTTATGTGTTTTTTGTACACATTTCTCGGCAATTTGACATTTTAATTCAAAATACTGACCTCAGTTTTGACATAACAAAAATTTTATAGTGCAATAGTACTAATGGGTGAGATTGACATTTGAATAAATTTACAAAACACGTCTCATAGAAATTGATGGAAGACGCTCCCGTTCCAAAATAATTCCTTATTTAAGAGAGAATGAGTGAAACTTTTGAGTAAAAATGCTTCTCTCAAAATTATGTTTTTAGCGATAGACTTTCATGCTTTAGCGCGATTTTTGACGTTTATAATAAATTCGAATTTTAAATAAAATTGTACGGAAATAATTTTATTCGAATAACATAGTTAAGTATAAAAATGTTTGGAAGAATATAAAAATACTTCGGATTTTCATTTTTATTGATTATTCGATAATACCATATGGAATAGTCACTTTTCCATAATATCATTCTCGTGATTTTTTTACTGTTTGGAGAGAAAATATAGAAAAGTAATCTCAACTCATTTCTTTTAATATCATTGAATAAGCAAACAAACTTTTGAAATATGTTAATAATAAAAACAAATTTTTAATGGAGACTCGATTAAATACTATTTAAAGCCAGACTCATACATGAGATATAAAATTATTATTAATCACCCACATTCACTGTATTCAATAACGCAAGTTTAACAAAATATATAGTTTTGAATGAGAAAATTTAAAATCATCTATTTTCAGAATGTCCTCCCAATTTAAATTTTTTAATTTTTAATTTATTCATTTACGCATAACAACGAATATGTCTATAGTGTGGCGTATCAACCCTTTCATATGAGACTGCATGAACCAAGAAATTTTTGCAGTGTAATCCCTTTTGTTTTTACAATTCTGTTTATTTTTTTTTTCTCTTCTCCCTTCAATATTTTATTAATAATTCCTTTAAATATTGAAATAAGAGAAAAATTTATTTTTAAATAATAAATATAAAATTTATTTAGGACAGCAATATAATACTTGTTCCTTTTCGCCTCTTTATTCTGTCCCTTTTTATGTTGTTGTACTCTTGCATATATAAAATTCATATTTGGGCTGCACGTTTTAAAATTTATACTCCCTCAGCTTTATTTATTATATAATAAATATACAATTATATTTTTTCATTTTTTTTCTCATTTTTATTATATTCACATAATTTTCCATATAATATTTTTTATAACTTACCTTTTATGTGTTGTCATGGTACGTCTTACTGTTGCAAATTTCCAAACAGTACATCCGGTGAATGTATTCAAAACAACGATTGTTGTAAATGGTACCACAAATACCACAACTGTGTCTATATAATTTATTATTGTCATATAATCCTGAAAGAAGAAAAATAAATATTAAATAATATTAAAATAAATAAATGAATGAATATTTAATTTAAAAAGTTACATGTGGAATGAATATGAAATAAATAATATAGAATATTGTTGTTAGTATAATTTACTCGAAAAATGTCTGAGCGAAAAAAAAAATTACATTTTATATTATAAATTTTAAATGAATTGGATTTTATACGATGTGTATAACAATATTGGAGAGTGACACAAAATTTATATTTTTGATGTCAGATGCATAAGGTATACAGAACTTGTTGAGATCAAATTAAGAGTGCTATAAATATATTGAGTGGTCATAAATATGTTTTTTTCGAGACATGTTCATTTTTAAAAGAGAGAATAACTGTGCTGCATAAAAACTCTCGTCTACTTTTTGAAATTTCACAAAAATTAATGCTACTTGGCGTTTTGAGTTTTAAATTTTTGACATTTCATAAAGAATTCGTGTTTAACAGGAACGCCCAATTGGTTCAATTCATTTTCTATTTGGAAAAAAATATTTTTTTTCAGTTTTAATTTTTAAAATTATCGCTTAATTATCAAAACTGTATTAACTTGGATTATGTGAATTTAAATTACAAAACAAACGTACATCGATTTAGGTATAGAAAATATTATTGATGATATTCCGGTATTACACATTTTTATATTCGTACAATATACCAGTCAAAATATTTGAAAAAGTGACTCAAAACTCTTCCGTTTTAATTGACTACCTAAAACGTAATGGTGGCTAATATTTACACAAATCATCTTTATAAAATAAATACTAACGATTTTCAATTCAAAAATCACTTTTAAAATTTCAATTTTTCTGTGGTTTTCCTTAACCTATGTAAAATTAAACTCTACAAAACTTAGCTATTATTAAGAAAATATAGAGTAACATTCCTAATGTCTTACACATTTAAGTTTACTGCAAAAACACAAACTCAAATTATAATTATTTATTTATGCTGCAGGGTAAAAAAAATTTTTCAACCTGATTACTTTGAATATTGAATAATTTTAGAATTACGTTGATTTAGTTTGAAATTATGTATGAATAGACAATTAAATTGGTACATGTAGAGAAAATCTTTAAAAAATTATTATATACCACCATTATATAGCCCGAAATATAAAAAACGAGAAAAAATAGAGTTGTAGTTGTCAACTCTGTGATACCCGTACCAATTTGTTATCCTATGTGCGAATATATTTGCCATAATGGACTATGGGATAGACTATGACTTTAAGTTGCCATGTTACCGTGTTAATTTATGCAAAATTTCAGTACTGTGTTATTCAAAATACTTGGTGTGCCAACCTATGAAGTTATATTGAAGTTGTATGGCAGCTACCAGAAAGAGCCAAGCAATTTTAACGAATTTTATCAAACACATCGGCCCTACTAATATATTCGTTTGTGTGTAATTTCAATATCATGGCTTTTACAGTTTCTGAGATATAGCCAAATAAATTTTGAGGTTGTATGGCAGCTCCCTGAACCAGTACCCCGATCATGTCCAATTTAAATAGCGTTTTGGCACTTATTACAATAAATCATTTGTGAAAATTTGATGAACTTAGCTGAATTAGTTTTTGAGTTATTGCTGCGACGGACAGACAGACGGACAGACAAAGGTAAATCAACTCAGAATTCGACACTGATCAAAAACATACACTTGAGACTATATCTCAGAGCATTATTTCTTAGCGTTACAAACGGTAAGGCAAATTTAGTGAATAAAAAATATAAAAATTATGAGCAAACTATTGACAATATTGTCTACTCACCTACTTACACACTCACACAAAATTTATCGCAAATTCAATTATATAGAATTCTAATAACCTAATTATTTTGATAAAAATTCACACCACTCTAATTTCAATTACGGCAATTAGTTACTCTATTAAATAAAGAGCTGCAATTTTTTAAAATAAAAATGAAACGCTAATGAAACTCCTTAATGAATAATTAAATTTTTTAATTATTTGAGCTCAGTATGATATCTTAAGTTTAGTAGCCTGACAATAATCACGGTAGCTTATAAATTCTCATTACCCTTTTAAAACTCTAAAGTTTTTGTAAATTAACTTAATTTTTTTGGTATCATGTTGGGACATAAAAATGACACATTATTTTTTATTACATTATTCAAATTAATCAGAATATTTTAGAATTAATCACACCATTTATAAAATGAAAATTACCATTAATTTTAACGAGTTTTTTCACATTTTTTCCACAAAATTACCTTTTATTTTACAAGCACAAAAAAAAAAAGAATTAATTGAAATATTGGTGTCAATGAATTCATCTAAGTTAAATAATGAATTTTTCCATTAAATATATAAGAAACCACATATAGTAGATTTAAATTCTGAAATTCTAAAAAAGTTGGATGATGAAGGTTAAGAGAAAGATTGAACTTTAGTGTAAACAGGAATATTTCAATATAAATTTCAAATTGTTGATATGCCTTCAAAATTCCATTTAAACACCTTTATAGTATTATAGGAATAGCACTCAAATATATTTTTAAATCTTAAAAAATTAATTAACTTGTTAATTTCCTAGACCGCTCAAAATTTGTGTAACCAATAAAACAATTGCAATTTTAACAATTTTGATTTTAAGAATTTTTATATTTAAATATTTTACCCCCGTATTTATGCAACAATCTCTGGTGGCGCCACATATTTGACATAATTCATTATTGTAAATCATTTGAAATAAGAAACTGGATGCTGTTATAGTCGTATTTTCGATTTCAATTGAATTCTATATGTGATTACTGAAAATATTAACAGAAACTATTCATTTCCCCAATAATTGTCTTCTGGAGTAAGAAAGAATTTACGAGAAATTTAGAAGTCAATAATTTTAAAATTGAAATTAATAAAAAAAAAAATTTTATTTTCCATAATTTTTGAAATTAGTCGTAGCCGAGGGATCACTAATTTTCAGCAAAAACCAAACTCAACAACAGAAACCGCCACATTAATTCTACATACATCGATTAATCCCATGTTTGAATAACCAAAATTTTACCTTTCATATATTAAATACCTAAATAATGTGTGCATATTTTTTCAAAACAAATTTAATAACATATTTGCGATTATCAAAAGAATACAAAGAGAACTTGATAGACAGGAGACTTTTAAATTATATAGCATTTTATTACCCGCATTAAAGCATTCCAATTCACTGAAGAAAGGGCAAAGAAAAACTCAATTTAAATCGCAATAAAACCAAAATAAATTATTTTATTTAATTATTTTTTTTTTTATTTAGAAAACAGAACGGCACTGCGTCAGTAAGGTTTGTATTAATTAATTAATTAGGTATGCAGAAAATAAAGTCTACCAAATTGGGATCATAAAAAACAAAAGAAAAAAAAATAGAAACTTCATCAAAAAATCATTTAAATGAAATTTTTTAAGTGAGTAAGTACAGTAATTAGTATAAAATTGATAAAATGATTTGAATTCAACACAACGTCACACATTTTAAATTTCAATATTTAATTGAGATAATTATTGAAAATAATTTACAGAATTTTAATGTCTACTAATGAGTATTAAAAGGTTAATGAAACTTGTATTGATGAAACATGCTGATAATGTACAATATAGTGGCGGATTTACTCTATATAGCAAGTAAACATTCCCAATCGGCACAAGAGATTTCCTATAGGCGCCATTAACATTCCCTACGGGCGCCGTTAAAATCTTCAAACAAAACAAAGATAAGTTTTAAAAAATAAAAAATTTTTCCAATTTTTTCCATTACATGCTTTTCTAAAAAATTTTTACCTTCTATTTACAGTAAAATTAACTTGATTACATTAATCTATATAGAAACATTGCAGTACAAAAAATTCAAAGTTTAATTTCAAGCTTTAATTTTATTACTAATCTTGTGGAATTTCTGCATAATAAATTCACAAGAAAGTGATTTCTTATGCGCATATTGTATATTGCTTCAATAACGCTAGTGAGGGATCACACATTTTGGAAATCGCTTAAGGACCTGAGCAAATCAGAACCGGGCCTGATTACATACAATAATTTCGAATTCATGCCGTTCTACATTCTTAATTTTGTACATTTTAATTTCTTACAATGTCTGTATGCTATAGATACATAATGCACATTAATTTCTTATTGATTCTACCTCACGACACTAACATTGACTATTTACAACAATAAATTGTTTTTAATCAAATAGACCATTAAGATCATCCAAGCTAATCATCCGATTGAAATTATTCTGAAATTATTGGCTATTATAAAACAATCTAAAACAAATCGTGAGGATTTTATTACAAATGTAAAATATTCAAATTTAAATGCAAAAATTTTAAGCAATTCTTAACTTTTATTATTTTTTGCATAAGAAAAATTAAAAATTCCTAAAATAGAAAACAAAAAAATCAATAATTGTAATAAAAGCACAACGTATTGAGCTCCAATTTTCTAACAGTTTTACTGTACTTCAAAACATGACAAACTCAATTTAATTTCAATAAAATATTTTACCATGAAAAATGTTAAAGAGAAAAAAAAAAGGACATTTTTCTTTTTAACCTTTCAATCACTTTTTTCCATTTCCCTTTTTTATGCTTTTCTGATTAAATTTTGGAGGTTTCATTGATTTCGCTTTCCAATTCATTGATGATGTCGTCAATACAATAAATTGTAGTTAGTCAGTCACTTAAACGGCCTTAAGCAGAATTATTTTCAATTATTGTACAATAAAATGGAAGAAAAACATAAAAAAGGTAGATAATTTCATTTTATTCAATGTCATCATTACAATAAAAAACAAGAAAAATTCAAAAAATAAAATTTTTTTTTTCATTTCTTATAAAAATTTGTGAAAACGACTTAGGAAAAAAACAATGACTTAGAAAAAGAATTTTAAATAAAGAATTTTGTCCTTATGAAAATTCGATACCGGGCACAAGATTTTAAATTTAAGATGA